AATATTGAGAAAATCAAAGCAATTTTTGAAGCTATATTCTTTGAAGGTAAATAGATGAGTTTTCAAAAAGATTGAATATTGAAATTTAGTTTCCTATGTCATTACAATAACGGTTTCAGGAAAATCCTGTAATTTGATTTTCTATATTCCTTTCCTACAAGATATTTACCGTCCCCTTAGGCTATTTAAAAATTACATGGATATTGCAATTTTTATAAATAGGTATTACAAATTAAAATCTCATTTTAAATTTAATGGAAATATAGGATCATATGGTCTAGTGATGCTTCGTTTAAATGTGTTTTTTAAATTCAAGTAAACTTTTCCAATAAACATTGAAAATATTTATGAATAAGTTTGAAAATATTGCTTTGGAGAAGCAAAAAAAAAAGTTATTTGATTTTATAAACTTTTTAGAGTAATTTTTTTTAATTTTGACTAAATTATTTATGAAATTATATTTGGTAAAAAATTATTAACCACTATTTTTTATACTTCCATTCAAATATTTTGGGAAGAAATATCCGAATAATTTCTTCAATTTCGCCCGATATGGAAAGTAAGATATCTTCCTTAAAAACCGATAATTCTACCGATGTTTCCTCTATAAAAAATGACATTTACTCTTAAAAAACTAAAGTTTCTTCCGACATTTCCTCCTTAGAAAATAAAATGTCTTCTGATATTTCTTTCATAGAAACTAAAGTTTATTGAGACATTTCTTCGTCAGATAGTAAAAGTTCTTCCTTAGAAGAACCGGTGTTTCCTGAAATGTTTTCTATAGAAATGATATACAGGGTGGGCCAATCTTGTGGAAAAGTTCGATATCTTCTTTGTTGAAAGAGATATTAAAAAAGTGTATTGAGAAAATTATGAACATGTTTGAGGTTAACATTTTAAAATTATTGGGAGGTATACAGGGTGTTGCATAGCTCGTGTACGAACCAAACATATGTTTTTTAATAATAACCCCAGTATATTATTTTAGATACCTGTCACCGTCCAGTTGACAAATTTGACATTTTAAAAATCAAGAGCAACTGCCTGTGTGTTAATATTTTAAGTGAATTAGTAATAATAAGATGAATAATACGACTTCTTCTATCCCAGAAATGGTGGATATGATTTATATACTAGGTGAGTGCAACAAGAATTCTTTACTTGCCTCCAGAGTGTACCACCAACGATATCCGGAACACCGAAAACCAAAAAAAGTTACAAAAGTTAAATGATGACTTTCTCATATGTATCCAACATTGTATATGTACCCACTTTTTAAATAGTTTAAGGTCATCTTCTTGATAATTGGATCTCTTCTACATAATTTACAGAGAGTAGTAGCCAGCCCTATTTGCTATTGGATATGTCTTGGTAAGTCAAATTATTATCAACCCTCTTTTTTAACCTTTAACTGTTTTGGTTTTTGTTCAATTTTCATTTTTTGTAATAAATATTTTTACTTCAATACATTATCTCTATTGCCTATAATATCAAAACTGTTTAAAAAAATACTATTAAAAAGACTGAAACCCATCATTGAATAAAGGAAACTAATTCCAGTTTGGCTTTAGAAAAAACCATTCAACTATAGATCAGGTTCTAAGAATCTCAAATGCATTTGAAAAGGCATTGGAAAACAAAGAAGTCTGTTCAGCCATCTTCCTCGATGTTGCACAAGCTTTTGATGAAGTATGATATTATGGCTAAAAGCATAAACTGAATATGCTTCTTCCACAGACATACTCAGAGCTATTGGATTCATACATTATAGATAGATTATTTAGAGAAAAATAAGATAAAGAATACTCTGAATTGAAAGAAATTAAAGCAAGAGTAACACAGGAAAGCGACCTGGGACCCACTTTGTATCTATTATACACTTATGGCATACCCCAAAAATGACACAGTAGTTACATTTGCAGATGATACTTCTTAGCGATAGGCAAAGATCATGAAAATGCTGAAAATAAACTACAAACATCTGTTAATCAAATAAATAATGGGACCAAAAGATAACGTATTAAATTAAACGAAACCAAATCTGTTAATATTAATTTTACCAACAAAAATGGTCAAAGAATACCAAATGCATTTGAAAAAGAAGTTGTACTTCGAAACATATGTCATGTTAGTGTTTTTAAAAATTTTTATATTTTTAAAATAAAAGTGTGAAAATCTACCAAATTTGGTTTTACTCTTTCAAGATTAAATGGATTTTCATCAAGTAAAGGCCGAAACAATAAATAATACAAAATTACTCATTGATCAACTTTTGATTAGATTGTAGTATTAACAAATGTGTCCTTTCTTTATTTTCTAAATATATTTGTTGAAATAACATGGCATTGACTAGTTACAACGATCTTCTTAAAAATATTTTTAAAAATTCAATATTATCATTGAAAGTATAATATAATTGAAAGTTTGCCACAGTTAATACAGAATTATACTTTAATATATATTGTTATTATAATAATAGGGGGTTCAAATGATTTTCGGAATAAAAGTCAGTTGAAGTCTTGCCTACATACAAATTTATTTTTATTGTCAATACCTTATTGTAATGATTTTATTGTCAACAAATTTATTTATAAATTTAATTGTAGGCTAAATAAATATCTTTATATATTAAATAAATGCACATAATCATCTGTTCGATATATATATATATATATATATATATATATATATATATATATATATATATATATATATATATATATATATATATATATATATATATATATATATATATTTTAATAACAAAAACGGAAAGTTTTGTCTAAAAATGCACTGGTTGCCAAATTTTTAGAAAACCGATGCCTCATAATAACCTAAAATTTATTAAAATAAATCACCAAGAAAATTTTCGGAAATCGTAGAGTTTTAGCAACTAGAGTTATGAGTTTTAATAATTTAACAGATATAGGGGTCTATTCTGTAATAATTCCTTTATATTTAACGGCCTTTAAAAATATTGGCGACCTTTAAAAATATGTTTGTATTCGTTAATTTACTTCTGTCATTATTTAAACGGATTTCTTTAAGATAGTCCTCAAATGTATTTTAAAGATCCGTTTAAATAATGACAGAAGTAAAGAAGAAAATATTTTTAAAGGCCTTTAAATATAAAGGAATTGTTACAGAATAGACCCCAATGTATCTAATCCTCCTAATAAATAATGCTTTATATTGGCAATGAATGCACAAAGTTTGCCTTGTCATTTTGATAAAATATCTGCATTAGTTGTGGTAAAAAAATCGTGGATAGTATGCTTGTCCAAAACACGACTTATAGAGGATATTTTTGATTCTGAAATTACAATAAATAATTTATACTATTTAGGTACCCATTTGTAATCTGATTTTAGTTGTTAATCAATAAATAAATAAAAAAAAAATATTATTTAACTAACAATTTACGATAAATAACCAAATAATTTTGGTCTATTTTTAATATTTCTAAATTCCGGCGCCCAAACATCCAGTGCCTAAGCGGAGGAGCCTAATGGACCCAGCGGCCAAACGGCCGGCGATTAAACGACGGTGCCCAGACCACGGCGCCTGAATGTCCTGCTTCGTTTTCTACTGCCTTATTGGAACCTTTTCTTCATTTAAGCCATTCTATTTTAAGAAATTATATTCATGTGTAAAACATTTTTTTCTCTGAACCGACTGTCCTTGCTTCTGTCTGTTAAAAAATATAAGCTGATGTCGAAAAAAGATAGGGATAATGTTAAAATTAATGTTTAAAGAAAAAATTGGTATGAATATTGAAAGTTAAACCTGTTTACTGTGTAGGTATAGTAATTTCTTACATTGGGCACAAGATCCATTGAAACACCTGGCATTACCTTGAATGAGGAATATTAACCTATTTTTTTAACCGTGGCAGTAAAGGTTGAGCCTCAATTTTATTTTTTACTTTATTTGTAATTAATTTTTGATAAATGCAACCAAATAAACATTAATATAAATATTATTGACAATCATCAGTAATCAGCTGTGAAGCGACAGACTGTCATTTGGAAAACGGCCGTCACCAGTTTTAATCTCAGTTAGTTATGAGTTTATTAGCTAAAGAGAGATTTTACCAATCGTTCTTGCCACCAGCTATTATATTTTATTATTTTAAATTCATCTAATCGACTATTTTCGAAGAAACATAAATTTCAAAGTTTATCAGTCCTTTTCGTCGAACCATTTGTTGCGTATTATCTATTTTTCGGGTAGGCTCTTTATCCTTTTTATATTTTTTTGTGGATGTTTTCAATATATACGAGGTGAGTTGCAATTATTTTATGTTATTAATCGTAATTAATAATTGCAATTGGAGTTTACTGGTTAGAAGATAACCCGAAACCAGACAGCAATTTTGTGGGACATAAATAAGGCAAATTATTGTTCTTCTTGTCCAAGAAGGAATCTTACAGGTGTATGTACAGTTCATAACTTTTTGTAAAAAACTATACAACATATATAGAAGAAAAATTCAAAAATTATTTTGCATATCCACTATGATTGAATAAATTTATTAAAAAATGTAACCTTCAAAAAGCCAAGGCAGCTGACATACTCGTAAAGTAGGTGTGAACGCCATTGGCATGTCTCAGACGGTAAACAAGAAAAAAAATATATACTAGAGAATATTATTAAGATAGAAAAATCAATTCGAATCTAGTCATAGAAACGAAATAGTATGAATATTCTATTTATGGCATATTTATATTACTAAAGTTCCATATTTATAGTACTAATAGATTTTTTTATTATTAAAAGTAACCCAAATAACCTGTTAATTAAATAATTCTAATAACTTTTTAAAATTAATTCAAACTTAACCTTAAATTGAATTATTATCTAACAAACTATATTATTTTTATTCACCTGCTTCCCTCGCTAATCCCTGGCAGTATATTTAATATGCAATAAACGGTGAGAAAGTAAAAATAATGGACTCTTTCCATTATTCACTAATCCACTTTGGAACCCCCACCTACCTAGGCCATATCGCAGTCATACTACAATTTCCGTTTCTGCAATAACAACAAGTAGACACGATAATACAGAACAAATGCGGGAGAAAATTTCGAAATAGGCGCGTCGGCGTCGTGGTCGAGCGTCGCGATGCTCAGCGTTTCGCGGTTATTTTCGTTCCGCAGCCGCAGCTGAACTGAAAATTGACAAATTCAAGTCGCGCGTCGGCCAAAAAGCGTCAAGATACCGAACCGACGCTGTACACCGTCAATGTGTGTTACCTGTACGGTATATACGGCGTCGACGCGCGCATACGGCTTGGTAAATACAATAAAGCTTTTTGTTTAATATGAAAATGCTAACATTGCAGGCTTTGTTGTGTATTTGGCCCATTTATTCATTTCTATACTCTTTTTTAAAACTAAGAAGAGCGATTTGAATTTAAGTTGGAAATTCTGTAGACTTCTGATTGGTCAAAATGCAGTCAGTTTCACACATTACTTTTTAGCTGATAATTGGCATAATTGTTATTGTTGACAGTTCTGTTCTGACATTTTATATTTTAAGTTTTGGTATTGCTTTGACATCATTATTACTTAGTTTTTTATTTTATTTCTTTAATAACAATACTTTTCAAAACTTTAGTAAGCAATTGTATTGAATTTCTACAATGGGGCATGTTCAAAAATTTTGAAATTTTTTTTATGAATAGTAGAGTTAAAAATAAAACTATATATTTTTTATTTTTTTTTATCTATTCATTTGCCGGAGTTATGAATTTTTTTAAAATTTATGACGTCACCGGGAATAGACCAATAGGAGCTAGCGCACAACGTTGCTGGCTAGAAGGTTTACGAAAAGTGATGTACGTTCGTTTGTGTACTCCTTCTTACTTTTAGACTTCTAAAACATCGTTAAACAAATATCTTTTAAATATATAATATCAAATGTTTTTTGAAAGTATTATTTCTGTTTAAACTTTTACCATATTTAAAATTTCATTGTTTTAAAAGTCACTTAATAATTCAGAAAATGGCAAAATGGCAGCACTGTGTATGGCATCTGTCATAGTGTTTCGATCAAGAATTTATTTCGAATTTGAGTTTTTAATTTTGCACTTTTTATAAATATTATGACTACGAAAAAGTGTTTTGTTCCAGAATGTAATAATTATTCACATTCATCTTCAAAAATATTTATTAGTGTTCCTAGAAATTTGGAAAGAAGAAAATCAACCTTCTACTAGCGATGTTTCTCGTAAACTTTTTAATAAAAATACACCGGATTATCAAGATGTAGCAGCAATTTCTGCTAATTGTCCTCTTCAGGAAATTGAAAATGAGGCTACTATAAATTCTTAAGTGTATAACCTAAAAGCCTTTCTGGAAGAAAATGCAGAATCTCCTGAAAGTTTTGAAGATACCGAATTTATTCATCATTTTGTGGAAGAACTAGTGATAAAAAAATAATAGAAAAATGTGGGTATTTAAACAAACTGGTTCCTGGATCCCATATAATGGCAGATAGGGGTTTCAGAATATTCAGCTACTTGAAAACAATAAATTTAAAAATATCACAATTCTTGCCACCTTTTTCAAAAAACCAGAAAGTGTGCCTTCTTATCAATCCTTTATGAAAATGACAACCGTGATAAATGTGAAAAAAAAAATTAATGTTGCTATTCGTTATTACGATAGTAAAACATGTTTGCAGTTCCGTTTATTTTTTATGAAAATCTAAGTAAAAACAACCAATGTCAAAGGGTTATAATTTTTTTTTTGTCGAACCAAATATATCACAAAATTTAAAAATTGATCATAGGTCAAGCTAAAGTAATACCTTTATTGATAGTAGCTTTAAAAAAGGAGAAAGAATAATATTGACTTAAGTTATTATTACTAACATTGGTGATTTTTAATAAAAACTCTTCAATTATTGTTTACAAACAAAAATATAAAAATCTGTGAAAATTTTATTTATTAACCTTTTAATAAAAAATGAGAAAAATGAAGTAAAAACAATTTATTTACAAATAAAAAATATATATACAAATCCTAAGAATATAAAAGTACTGATTTATTTTCCTGTAGTGGATGAAGAGGTTTCTTTAACAATCTAGCCAAGTGTACATCAATATTTACGCATTTTGATAAATTAGAGCCTTTCTAATAACACTGAGTAGATGTTACAGATGGTTCCTCACTTCTTCTATGAAGCCACATATTTACAACCAACTGAAAAAAATAAAAGGGTTAGATATGCAGTTACAAAATAACTATATAACCAGCTACAAAATGCCTTTATTTTATGTAACAAGACGAGCAGAGCTTTACTAGCTCTGAACGAATTCAGTAAAGAACCTCGGATTTTCAAAAATTAAAAAAAAAAAACATTTTTGAAATATTATAGAGCTTTTCGTAAAAAACTGCTATTTTTAAAAATACAATTTTTTGTTTAAACAGCTATGTCTCATATTATAGGCTATTGAGTATTATAAAATAAAAAATTACGGGATGCTTTGTTAGCTTCAAACGAATCCAGCAGAGCACCCCAGTTTTTTTTTAAACCACACCACGTTTTTTGGCTCCTACAATATTATAAAATATTCAAAATTTGGCATTTTAAAAAAAATTCGCAATTCCTTGCTGACTTCAAAGTTTTTTTCTGAAAACAAATGTACTTACCACATTTTTAGGATTTTAAAATAGCCTAAACATGTGTCATAAGTAGTTGTTTTTATATATAAAAAAACAAATTAAAAAACTGAAGTGTCCTGCTGACTTTGTTCCAACAAAGCACCCTGTATTATTTAAAAACAGCAATTTTTTTAGTAAAGTTTTACAATATTTCAAGAGTCTCTAAAAGTATTCTAAAAATGGGGTGTGGTTTTTAGAAAAAAGCTTTAAAAAACCGAATTGCTCTGCTGGCTTCTTTCGAAGGTTAGCAAGCACCATGTATTTTTAAAAATATAATATTTCAAGTGCATACATATATGGTGTTGCTGTTTTTACAGAAAAAACTTTATACAACAGAGGTGGTTTGCTGACTTCGTTCCAAGCTATAGAGCATTTTAAGTTTTGCAAAAAACGAGGAGCATAAAATTTTTGAAAAGGGTATAAAAATAGCCTAAAAATATGGCATATTTTTTAACTCAAAAGTTCATAGGTGCTCTGCAGCATTCTTTGGTATCATAATTATTACTAGGTTCACTAACAAAATCTGTTTCTAGATTATTTTAACACTTGCTGCGATTACAAAAAATGTCTATATGTCAAAATTAGAAAAAAAATATTTATAGGAATAACGGGCCTTATACACTGTTTATTATATGTAATATAAAAACAAAAAAGCATAATAAATATTACAAACCTTAACATGCAGCATATCCTAAGCATATTGTGCACTAAAAATTTCATTTTTGTTAATTACAACAACCACATCAGAAGGTTTTTGCCGTACTTTATGTTTAGGTGTAATTTGTCTCCTTCTCTCTTATGGAAAAAGAAATTATTCCCATATTCTTGCTTGGCCGATCTAAAAATAAAACCTGAGATAAATATTATGTTTTACTTGCTCCATATAAACTGTAACTACCTACTATTAAAACAAAGTCTTACCTTTCTGACTTTTGTAAACTGAGTATTGTTAAAAAATGCAGTAATCATCTCGGTAATCATATTTTCGTTTACAATGGGTAAAACACTTGATTTAACTTTTATAAATCCAGCTGATTCATATTAATAATAAAATTAAACCAAAACAAAAAACTAAGGTTAGGTGTTGGGTGGTGTCAATTTTAATGTCACTTAGATGTGCGTTCACTTCGACATTCTGTGTGTCGGTTTGTTCGTTGGCTTAGTTTTGTATAACAAAAAAAACTTCGACACAAGATGATTGGTCTATTCCCGATGACGTATAATTTCAAATTTTAAATTTCAATTGGGCTTAATTTAAAAACTTTTAGCTTTTTTAACGAACTGACTATTTAGAATAACTTGTATAGCGACTAACTATTACAATATAATTTATAAAACCGCATATCTCACATGTGAACATGGCCCATTATGGATCCTTCTATATCGAATACTATTATAGCAGTTCCTCGCGAAAGTCCATCAAAACAACGAAAACAAATGAGTTTAGGCAATTCAATCCTCTCAGCAAAAGCAGTAAAAAATTTAAATTTAACAAATGCAATTGCTAATAATGTTTGAGTTAAATGAGCTTATAACAGTTATTTTAAAACCTACCTCTAAATAGTACTTAATTTTACCCCGTGCAATATACGGCGTTGATATGTGTCAGTCAGCATAATAGATAATAATAAGTTCTACTTGCGGTTTCTCTTTCATTTTATATAATATTATCCCTTACAATGTTTTCCCATAACGACAAACAAATCCTCGGAAAGCCACAGTCGCCACACCCAAATAAACTTTTAATTTGATAAGACACAGTCCACACAGGTTATGTAACATTTTTTCCGACAGATATACTAAAACTAACATTGTGAAATTAATCGAATCGAACAGCCTATAAACATCGTAGTGTCGGCCCGGCAAACATGATGTAATTTAAAATGTTACTGTTCGCTCAGGTGAAAAAATGTGCTTATAAAGCGCTTGAGAAAAGTATGGTTGAAATAACATTAATTTCCACTTAATATGCAGTAAAAAACTGCCAATGATTGTAAATGTGGCTCTAAACGTTAAACTTATTATGCAATGTTTAACTGCCGTATTTTTGTACCATAATTTCAATTATTAGCCGACAAGTTTCCATCTTGATGGTGGGTGAGGTTTTCCGGGTTTTCCTCACCTGTAAGTCAAATAGCACCATCAATCATCTTTAAGTCGCCCCGGAGCGCCACGGCAAATAATAATAATAGCCGTCCCTTCCCCTACACAATTCATTCAGTCGACTTCAGGGGTTGAAATTCACTCGTAAGGGGGTGAATTAGGGAGAGTATTATTATTATTATTATTATCAGTTTTTGCTGGGTAGATAATTTATTAATATCATTATATCGCATATCCCTTACTTAATTTGATTTGATAGTATGGAATTTTGCAAAAATGCCGAAATACCATAGTTTTTAAAAAACAGATTTGCAGGAATTACAATTATTATTATAGAATAAACAGTAATCTCATGTATATGTTGATGACTATAAAAGCAATCATTGAATGGCGAATAGAATAATTCTGATGGGGGTTTTCCCATGAGTAAAAACAAAGAACTAC